TGATTAGAAATAAAGTTATATGCCTTTTTAAGTTACTATGTCCTTATGTGACAAGACTTTTGTCAATGACTGTAATTGCCCCCACCAACCTGAGCAGTCTAGATCCAGGCCTGACATGGGATACCTCTTGCTATTTTAATGAAAGTATCGTTTTAATATTGTAATACGTGTAGTTGGATTTTTCACGGATATGTCCCTCATTGGGATGCAGCGTGTTAAGCAGCGCTGGCGATGTATCAGTGTTGTAACTGGTATGGCCACCTCTGGTACTGAATGTAAATAACAGTCTGGCAGAATGGTTACCATCAAGCATCTTCGTAGTTTTTTCCCCAGCTGGCTGCACAGATAGGGATGTGAAGCACACACCCAACAAAGCAATACAATGACACCACTCTCATTGACCACTGCGTCGTTTTTACACAGTGCACTGCACACTTATTAGGAGCCCAGTGCCATTTTGCTTAATGCTTACTCGTGCCTCACGATGTTGTCCTGATCATCTTGTGTGATTTCTTGTTTTATCTGCGATTTTCTGGTTGGGCAGAGACAGGCCATTGACAGATGAGCCATTGCATAATATCAGATTGTATGTATTTCTATTTATCCATTGCTTTTATCCCCCCACATTTTAATAATAATAATAATAATAATTTTGCCTATTTAATTTAATCACATTTTGCCTATTTAATTTAATATTATCTAAATATAAATTAATCTATTTATACTGTGTTTTTTGCGCAGTCGCAGGAGCAAGCCAGGTTTTCATTTCTCTGCAAGTTGCACCAGTATAACTGCCGGTGACAATTAAATATAATCTTGAATCATGGTGATGTTTAATCTATTTCCTAATTTAGAGTAGCTTTCACTGTACATGTGTTTATTACACTCATTTATACTAGCTGTTTTTTGTGGCCCAGCTCTGTCAACTTAGTCACGAGTCGACGTACGTAGCACGGATGTTTTAATGAGCTGTTTTGAGCAATCAGAAAATAAATGTGCTTGTTGAATTAACTTTCCCTTTATTAAAGCTGAGTGAGCGTATTGTAAACCCAACCTGCCGGAGTCCGTAAGGTTTAATCATGACGCCCAGCAGCCCTCATTAATGTTTAGCAGAACATTTTCGAAATTAAAAACAAATTCAAGAAAATATGACATAGGATTCTTTAAATGTTGACAGAGAAAGCCACAGTCCGTTTTATCAATCTTTTTCTTAAAGAAATATCAGTTAATACACTTCACCAAGCATACGTAAAACTTTCGTTTACTGAACTAGATAAGATTTCAAAGGAAAACAGTGCTATGCACGTCAAGCGCTGCCTGCGAGGATAAGCGGATTTAAATTTCGGGAAATTAAATTTGTGCAATAACTTTACAGTATGTTGCCTACATCATAGTGAATATTTTCGACGCTGGTCTCAAAGAGAAACAATGAGGACAACTTTAGGAACTCCTCCCCTTGCAGACAGAGTCGAAGCATCGGTCCGAGATAGTTTTCCTCTAATTCTGTTATCCATTCTTGTCTATCCTCCATTCAAAATATAAAGTGAAAGTTGTCTGCACGCGAAAGCGGTTTGTCGCACCAGCTTGGTGCTTCGCAGACACATAAGAATTACTGGAAGTCTCAGACACAAGAACCTTTCGGCTTGTTTCCATTGGCAACAGGCGTAAACAGGGACGTCTGGCAGTCTGTGCAGTACTATCCCGTAGATGTAACACCGTAAAGGTATGTAGTTATTTTCGTTTTCCAACATGCATGGGTTCTGTATTTCTTTCACGTATAATTAAATATTTATACAGTCTGTTCTGTGTACTTAGGATCTTAAATGGTGTCTCCATACTTCGTTGGCTGGAGAAATTCAGGGAAGAAGTGCGTTGTAACGAACTGTTTCTCGCGGGAGTATAGTTATGAAAGCAACGTCACTTTACGGTTGCTTAATATTTATCTTAAAAGATCTCGGTTCCTGTTCTGTATCGGAGAAATTAACGAGGGTCTGATACTTATACAGTAAATGTGAAAAGTTAAATGTATTCCTTGGTGAAAACTCCTAAACTAAATACGGCTGCCACATTTTAATGACTTACTGGACTTTTTTACTGAATGCAATTATGCATTTAATTATACGTATGTGTAGTAATTCTATGATTACCAAAGTGTATTCAAGTTTTTTATACAGCATTTTTCCATTTTATTTATTAATATTGTACATTACAAAATGCATGTGTCATACATTATTCAATGTATTCATTCAGCAGCAATTGCCTGAGTGTCCAGAAGAGTGTCCGTAGATATCCCTGCTGGGATGCAATAATGTAGAACAGGATCCCAGCGGAAGCTTGCATCACTGCAACATACCATTCTCTTTTCACTTTTATATACCCAGTACAGAAGTCTACGGGTCAAGACACGAGGGTTTCCATTGGTGAATGGAATCCTGGATTATCCGCGAAAGCTGTCCTCTGATTGGCTGTGTTGCAGCAATTTTCCACCTGCAAAAAACCGTGACTACGTGAAAGTCCAGCCAAAGGAAGGATACCTTTCCCTGGAAAGTAGCGTGGCATTGATAGTAAATCTCTACAGTGATGTAACGGTAGACGTTTACAGTATATAGTTCCAGGAATCAGGCATGGCCTCACCGAAGCACTTTGGCCAATCCGTTATGGACTTTGCTGTTATAATGCAGAAGCTGCAAGGTAAGAGATTCATGCATTCTAAAAAAAAAATTCGGATTTTCTTTATCCCATATTTTTTCATCACTAAGTTTTGAGAAGTTTATGTGGTTTTGGTATGTTTAACATGGACCCATCTTCAATAGACATGCCGTGACACAGATGAAGATTGCCACTTTGCATACATATTGGTTTGACGAAAACGGTTCGTAACGTGAAATGACAGTGCACTTCTTTTCTGGGCTTGGTAATGGCTGCATCATAATAAATGTTTAATTATTACAGCAAGCATGCAGTGCACAATCCTAAAATGAGACTTTATTGTCTTCTGGCTATTAAACGTATATTTCCTACTTTGATTGCCTTGGTAGCAGAAGTCCAGCTGTGCGCTTCAACATCTTAGCTTTCAACGTTTTTTCTTTCTCTTAGTGAAGTTTGGTTCCTATGAGCCTGATTTCTCCACAGTGCAACTAAAGATCTATAACATGTTTTCCTATTTGGTATATATTTGTCAATTTTTATTGTTTGAATTTCAGATTGTCACGTGGAAGTGAATGCATGCTGAAATATCGATGGAGGTCTTGCTTTTCCTGTAACACACATAGTTCACCTAAACTTTCTAATAATTATTTTCAGTAATACATTTTCTTTTAATTACACAATCATTTTCTATTGAAAATGTCAGATAGAGGGACCATTGGTTAACTAGATTAATTGCTTAGTTTCAGAGGTGGCAATTTCAGGTCCAGAAAGTAAAAATCCAGACCATGATTTACTTTCAGCCAACCAGTTAAGCATAAAGAGTCACAGTCACAGAATACTCAACCGGTTGGTTGAAACAAAATCTTGGTCTGGATTTTTACTTTCTGGAACTGAAATTACCACCTCTGCTTAGTTTAAAATAAGGATGCTTTGCGTTAACCCTTTCCTATTGGAAATGTTTATGGTGGTTTACAAATATATAATATAATCACTACATTCAGGGGCTTAGCTAGAAATTCTGCTCCCCCTGGCATTCTGGGACCCCTGGAACATGTTGGGCCCCCTGAATCTGCCCCCCCCCCTTAAACTCTGATTACATTGGATTCATTGTAATCATAACAAATCATTACAATGCAGGCATTACTTTTTTATGTAATATAACATATGATCTTGAGCATTACTAGCTGCTGTGGTCACCGTACTTGAAACTACCATGACTGAGATTATTTAAAGTAAATTAATTGTTTTTCTAATCCAAGATTCAACACCTCAGACTGAAAGAGATGTCTGTAGAAGGTGGATACTGATTAACAGCTTATACATTTCCTGTCCTTCAGCTTCCCAATCAATACTGGAGTCTGTGATAATGAATAATGTCGTTCTTTACAAGGGCACTGCAAACATTTGAGCCTTACTGCCTCTACTAGACTGGGGCTTCTGGGCTGTATATTTTTAGTTTGCGTTTTATTTTTTTTATATAAGCTGTATACCTGAAGCCCTGAGCCAATCCTTCCCTTTTTGTCAACAAATAATTCATACTTCCATTTATTCGAGCCCTTGTGTGTAATATCGGACCCCCTCACTTAATCTGTTGACAACTTAAAAACACAGTCTGGAACTAAAAGATAATAACTACTCTTCTCCCAGCAGAAGTAATCTTGTGCATTAGTAATAAACTTATTAGTTTTATACAAACCAGACTGAGATCTGACATCATGTTACCACACACCCAACACATGATGGAAATTTTGAATACAATGTATTTCAATATATTTTCAAATATAAAGAAAAACATGAAGATATTTTCTTTGTAGATTTTTTGAGCTGTTTATTTATCATGAATCCGAATTTAAAAATCCAAATTAAAATAACTGAAATGATTGTTTTGGTTTGTGGTATTCTAAAATAGAATACTCATAGATACATTGCACCAAAAGATCAATGGTTAGATAGTAAATCTGGATCATGATTTCTGTTATATCAGCAGGACCCTGAACTTACCATTGTATATAAGTTACTATGGCTACTACTGTGAAACAGATGCAGCTGTCAGGAAAAGAGAGTATGACCATGACAGAGTTACTGCTTCCTGTGTGTTTGAGGGAAGACTGTAATTGTTTTCCTGTGGAGCATTTAAGCTATTTATATCCTAATGCAAGTCAGCACAGGGGTTGTGTTTTTATTATCTTTTGTTGTGATATTAAGCCTGTAACAGCTTTGAGGATCACGACAGATATTGCTCAGAGCAAACATTAAACGTTTGAACTGTTGCTCCTATGTTTAATTTTATATAACCAGCTACCACTGTAATGGCTGATGCAATATAATTATAGATTTTAAAAAAAATCTTATGTTGATCTGTATGGTAATTTTCCTTGTGGTTAGTCAAGCTGCATTATTGTTGGATATATTAGTTGTCATTATTTTCCTGCCGAAGCTTTTCTTTCCTACACTTACTGTAAGCTCATTGTCCGGCGGGCATGCCCAGACTCTTCGGGGGTCAGCCTGGGGTGCGCATTCTTCACAGATTAGACCTCCTGTAGGCCTGGCCCACTGCAGTGCAACTATTGGAGATGAGAAGTAAACAAACACTGGGGCAAATTCGTTTGTAGACAACGTTTGTTTGTGTGCTTTGGAGCTGTATATTGCAAAGTGCAATGAGCTTCATTTAATTTCTGCTGGGACTCATTTGGACAGACATGTACATTTATGTACTACTTCCTATATATATATATATGTATATATATGCAATTGGTGTATTGTATAACTTGGTAGTGACACTGTTGCTGTTTCTGTTAAGATTCCTTGTGTCTTGCATGCAGTGCTCTGGCTGAGAACATTGAGGATGTCTGTGGATGTAACACTTAAATGGCTTCAGCATCTGCTGTTGTGGCTTTTAGACAGGGCTGACAGCCCAGTCTGATCTGAGACTGAAGTGTGCTTGATCAGCGTTGCCTTTATCAATCATGTACTGTCAGATCCAAGTCCCATTCATTAACACTGACATGCCTGGCTTTAAAAAGCATATAATGTTGACACATTTTTGATTTTCTTTTGTTTTAATGGAAATGGAAATTGAATCCATGTGAAGTTATTTAATTGCAGAGCCAAGATTGTTTTTCTTCTTAACAATGTCATCTTCTAGGCTGTCATGGTATACTGTCGACCTTTATGTCTGAACACTATATACGTGACAATATTCTTTGTAAAATGTATATCACAGATTCTTTCAACTTGTAATGATATCATGGTATCATCACAAGAAGCGGTTGGCCGCTGATTAACAGTGAAAAAATCTGATCAAACTGGATGAAATTGCATGAAATCTAGAATACAAGATACAGCAGATATTTTGGTTACTTTCTTGTTTTTGAAAAACGCATTACCATTGATTCCAGGGCCAATGTAGTATAATGATACATACAGGGGACCCCTAGAGAATTTGGGCCCCATGAAAGCACGTCATATTGGGCCCCCAGAGAAGACCAATTCAATTAGGCTCCACATTTTTATGGTCCCCTGTCAGTCAGGGGCCCTCAGAATCGTCCTAACTCTGCGAGCGGCATCCCTAGATACAGATTTCAAGTTTCTCTTGCTGTTATGTTCCATGCTGTTACTGGTAATTCACTAATTACCTGGGATGACCGCCACTATTAAATGATAAGCGCGTAGTCAGGGAAGAAACGTCCTTGACTCCATGGAGTTGGAAGTCTGAGTTGCTTGTTATATCTAGGCTGGACCGCATAGGCTGGGTGATTCCCTTCCAGTTTCAGAACAATGGAGAGCGTCAACTTTTGATCATATTTGTTTCTTTGTTTTGTATTTTTACTTAGAAACGGCTCTGCCGTCTAAGGAACTATGGAGTCGTCACCCTGCCATTTGTGGCAGTTATTAAGTCATTAAAGGTGGAAAACTCGGAATGGATGTAGTAATGTTAATTACTAGTATTAAGATACAGAGTTTTAATACACTCATTGAGCTAGTGAGCCTCTGTGTAGACTACCTAAGTTGTTTACTTGCATAAGTGTCATAATTATAGATTTAACTGTTTGATAATATTTCTAGAAATACACAGAATTTTTTGTGTTTCCTTGATCCTTCTTTTCACGTTTTGTGCCTCATTACCCAATTAAAACTCTTTAATTAAACGGTCCATGAACTGTGCGAAAGGTTGCTTACATTGATGCTGGATTTGCTCCGGATTTGATGTGTCCCACGTGACACCCATGTGTGTTTGCATGTACTAATATTTAAACTAAATTCATCCAAATTCTCCCTGAACTCACGTTTAATCATTTGTCATTGTCGACATTAAGTACTATTGTTACTGAATTTATTGGTTTTATGTTCATATTTCGATGTAATGTCTTGTGGACAAGTAAAATGAAGACAAAGTTTATAGATTATAATATTCGCCACAAGAAGTGCATTCCCGATCATGATCTGGGTTTTGTTATGGATTACAGTTAAATACTGTAATGAGATTGTTTGTGGGATCAGTATCCCAAGCATTCATGTTGCATAAATAGGAGTATTTTTCACATGTGTAAAATTTCCTGAGAATAGGTCGATGTACAGTGTATTTATAGCTCAAATCAGACTGTATTACGAGCGATAATAAACAGTCACAGACACGCACGTAGATATACAGACACAAATTCAGCGTTTCGCTTTTTGTTTGCTGGCATTGTTCAAATCCCAAGAGTACAGATCTTTGTCTTAAAAAGAAAAAAAACAACAATAACAATTTGTTCTTTTGAAAGAAAGGCATCAGGGTCGTGCATGTGAATGATAGGACTTGTGATATATTCGTGGGACTACCCCGTGCGCACTGAAAACCCGGTTTATACGGCCAGAGATGTGACATCACTGCTTCCCGCATGCCAGTTGGCACGGCAGCAGAAATGGATTATTTCTGCAGCTCTGGAGTGATGCTCAGATCGAGGAGAGCAGGGCTTGAGGATGTAGGAGGATCCCAGATAGCGAGGGGCTCGTAAATCTACCCGAATCAGACGCGTTTGCACTGACGAGGAAGGGGGGGGGGCATCATCCATCCACAGTGAGCAGAGCTGCGTGTCCTCATAGCCAAAGTCGGCGATCAGATTCGCTTTGCTTCCTGAAAGAGAAAGAGAGAGTGGGGGACAGCTTTCCTGTTCTCTCTCTCTCTCTCTCTCTCTCTCTCTCTCTCTCTCTCTCTCTCTTTCCTCCATGGATTTCTGCCTCTCATACTTGCGCACGCACATGAAGGGCAACGCGGCTCGGTCGCATCCCGGAGTACAACATGACACATTATAGGAGGACGGGGTCGATGAAAAGCAGCACGTCTCTCAATCTGGTGACGGGATTTTTCCAGTATCTGCGCGGTAAGTGGGGCAGCATCTTTAGCATTCAACTCCACTGTCCTTGTCGTCCGGAGAGGGTGATGTTATGCCGGGGGAGTCTGAAAGCCTGGGATGGCTGGGAATCCTGCCGGTCTTACTATGCAGCCACTATGGCCGCGACACTTAGACGTGCCCTTAGACAGCCCTCGCTGTGTGTGCCATCAACGGAGCCGTGCCCTCGGACAACTGTTGACGTTGACCGCATTGTGGGGTCTGGTAGTTGTGTTGCATTAAAATGCACTAAAATGGCTTCTGAGCCTCTGATCGTGGATGTCAGTCTGCCCCCATGCAGATGGGACGATGCGTAGTTTGCAAGGTGTCTGCACTGAGTCTCCACCTTCCTTTAAGGTGGTGACACGAAGCAGGTCGTATTTCTCGCAGGGGAATTATCGTGGAGCAGGGCATGTGTCATTGGTATTTAACAACATTACCTCTGGAACGTCCTGGTAAAATCACGATTAATATACAAAACTCAGATTGTCCTTCACTATATGGACATATGTTATGCAACTTTAATTAATCCAGGACACACGCACATCCGGTGATTTTATAGTACATATATTTTACTCGGCTTAAAGACATTTCACACTCGAGTGAAATTCAGTGGTTTCAGTGATTTTTGTCAACTGTTTCTTTATTGACGTGAATAATGTAATTCTAAACAATTTCTTTTCATATTACGGGAAGGCTCAAGAAAGTGGTGGATTCACTGCTCTGTGATTGTAGTTTTGATTCTTAGCTTGAATCTTATGTATGTGGATTTTTGCATTTAATTCCCATGTGCGTTTGAGCTCACCGGCACAGTCCAAAGGCAAACAGTTGGATTAGTTTAACTGGATTGCTTTCCCTAAATTTCCATTAATTTGTGCCATGCAGTCCTATCCAGGGCATTCCCTGTCTGTGCCCTGTACTTCCTGGGATAGACTCCAGGCTGCATAGAAGGAATAATGAGACAGAATAGGGTGACTTTTTTTAAGGTGGTCTGTGGTGTTTCCTCTGAGTTTATCATGAGTGACACTATGGCAGAACCGGTACCCACTATGAAAAGTGTTGTGTATGAGGTTGTGTCATGTGATCTCACAAAAAAAGCCATACTGTATGTCAATAGCACTGAAGATGAAAGTTTTTACTGAAGGTCATCAGACTGATTATGTGCCTGGGATTCATGTTTTCTTGTGTATCACGTGCCGTGATGTGCAGTAACTATTTTTATTTCTGTCAGATGAGCAAGAAGCAGTGCAAAAAAGAACCTTTACAAAATGGATCAACTCACACTTGGCAAAGGTAAGGAAGACTACAAGTCTCTGTTGTCACTTCTGCTGTTTTTTCATTGATGTAAAATATTTGGATTAGGGATAAAGAATCACAGTTGTTACCACTGTGGTTTTTTTGGTGAATTTTATTTGCGTTTAGTCCATAGTACTGTAGGTCCATATTAAGACTGAGTTTTTCGGCAGCCCTGGTGATATGCTTGTTGTTGTCTTGTGAAGTTCCCCTTAGTGTGTGAGTCTTTTTGTGCCGCGTGATGCTCTGGCATCCTGTACAGGGTGAACCCTGCCTCCTGTTCTGTGACTCCTGGGATTGACTCCAGGCTCACAGCCACCCTGTACAAGAGAAGTGGTTGCAGGAAATGGACCGATAGAAGATTTACTGTATTGAGTTTGTTCAAATATATGGATCCTTGACAGCCTATTGCATTTGTGGCAAATTATATTCTAATACTTCATGAGTCAGCAGAAGTGAAGGACTGTAGCTTTCAGTCACACTAGCAATCAGAAGTAATTTACATACAGTATGTGATGTGTGTTTCAGGACTGACTGGAATTAATATACAACTAAAATGAAAAGATAGCTTGTCATGTTACATACAAAAAGAAGGGAATTTGGTGTCACAAATGACCAATGATTTTATATTCAACATCTATATCAAGTTTATCGTTCATTTTTGCATTGACATCTACAATATATAACACAAACAATATACAACACAAAAAGGTAAATAATTTGCTAGTTAGTGGCAGGGTAAGACATCTACTACATTCAGTGTTTTGAAATGTATGTATGAATGAGCTTGATGTTTTCAGCCGCTTTCAAAAGGTCTTTTTTTACTTGGGTTACGAAAAGGTCCCTGGTTCAGCTATCGAGAAAGCAAATTCAGAGCAAAACAAAAGCGTAAAAGCTGCTTTCAGATTGTCGATAAAGGTGTCCGCTAAACCCTTAGCTTTGGAAACGCTAGATAAACTTCTCCGGATAAGAGGAAAACAAACAGGCTAAATGTCACGTCCCATTTTACCTCCAATCTGCCTTTCGCTTGTTCGGTTATCAGGTTTGTTACGTAGCAGGCTGGTGTTACTTATGAAATGGCATCTTGCCCTGCAGCTTTTGAGTTGAGATGTGTAATGGTATAGGAGGTATCATAGTGGTTTAAAAGGTTCACTTGTAATATAAAGACTTCCATCTCCCATGAGTGGTCTTGCTGCTGTTCTTTTGAGTATTGAGTTCACATCCTTAATTTGTTCTGTCATATTAATTTCTCATACATATGAGGCCATTAATTCTTCGGTTTTCTCTTGCGCTGTGGGACGAAATGCCCAGATATTGCTTGGGGTACAAATGTTTTTTTTCCAGCCCCTTTTTTTTCTTCTTCAGAAGATATTTTACTGAAACAATGATCCGCCACTGGATTCTTCCTGTGAGGCAGACAGAGGTCCAGAAAGCAGAGATTGGTGGTGTAGAGAGCCAGTAGTGTGGAAGCGGAATGGTGCAGAGGGCTTTCTGTGAGGGAGAGAAACGTGAGCTGAGCTCCTTCCCCTGTGGTAACTCTCGGCAAGCCATTAGACGGCCGTGCAGAGTCGCAGGCTTGTGGAATTCTCTGCATCGCGATGCGTGAGGCGTTCGGGTGGCCTGGGGNGGGGGGGGGGAGCAGCAGATGGACACCAAGACGGAAAGGAACAGTTCCCTGCGGGGAACTGGCTGCAGGTCCAAGGTCCTGGCAGCGCTGATGCTCCATACCTGAGACAGGATTGGTCAACATAAGTAATCTATCAGTATATAGTATAAAAGGACATTACTGCTTTAAGAGCTGTGAGTAAGCGCTTGGATTAGTTGCTCATCTGTCCTTAAATATCAGCCTCTAATTTAAATGTAGAAATTATGCGACGTGCGTGATATTATCCTGAAATATATGAAGAATGCATTTATTTTTGTGCCCCTTAAACAAAAAAAGATGTTTACTGGGTGTAAAAACATCACATTTACAGGTTCAAGTGGTTTACTACCAAGTCGAGTGGCTTACTTTTATGGACAATCAATACTTAACTTCCGAAAGCAGATTTAATCAGGACACTCCTATTAAAAAGGGCTTTTTTTATTAGGCTTTGTATTTTTAGTAGTATTTTGCAATAACTATTACAGCTCAATACTATTAAAACTTTTGTTCCTCACTGTCTCCTGTTCAGTCGTTTACATTAAACTATTATGCACCCCCAATGCATTTGTTTATCTTTTGTAAAATACGTTTTTTGGGCCAGCAATGAACTTGTATTGATTTCTTTTTTAATTCTTGAAACAGATTAGCTCAGTTAGCATGTTAATTTCTTCGATCGTGCATGAATATACGCATGTTTTACAGGCGCTGTTTAATATGTTTAATATAAGCTCTCATCACACCATGCCAAGTTCCCAGTATGAAAGATTAATTGAGAAAGGCTGGATGGTGACAAACTGCACAGCGCTTTTCCAAATATGAGTCCAAATACAAACGACGGCATGAATTAATCGCTCATCTCATCCCACTACTTTAATTTTAACCCCAATATCGCGTTAGGAGACATAACCTTCCCCCCCAACATGCCCCACATACAGGAAGTGATCTCGCGTACATGTCACAGGCCTTTCCAGTTTTGCTTTTATGCTATAAAAATGTACAGAAAACGTCATTATGGACGTACCGCTTTCCGCGTGTGTCCGTGAAACTTCAATTTCCGTCTGCCATCTATACCCGCCATGAGTGGCCAGTCCCTCCAGACGCCGAGCGGAATACGGGTGGAGGCCACGTCCGGCATCTTTATATAAAGCCACTATCTTATATGTAAATATAAGACGTGGAAAGAAAATTTTGACGTGCATCTGCCTGTTATTTTATGTTTTTCTGGCACTGAAATAGGATTTGTAATGAATAAATTCTGCTGAGTGGTACTGTATACATAATAGATATGCACATTCAGGCACTCAGACACTATGGGCAGTCTGCAGACCCCAGTTACCCACCCGCACGTTTTTGTGCTGTGGGCACACCTGAGGGCATTGCAGTGCTTTCTTCAGTCAACAGTATTTATTTTAATTTCCTTATCTATGTTCTTATCATTTAATGTAGATGGACTCTTGTTTCAAAATTATTGCAAAATGTGCTTTAATTACTGCGAGTGACACTTTTAATGGAAGTGAAGAAGTGTCTTCCGGCGTGTCGACGTGAGAGCGCCTGAAAGGGCAGTGCATGGGTTAACTGCCCCCTTGAACTCGTTTTGAAATCGGCCGGCCCTGCGTGGGCATGCAGGCACTCACCCTCGGAGCAAATGCCATCTCTCCGCCTCCATCATGAGCTGGCAGCCATCTGAGTTAGATCCTGCTGTGCACCCTGACCCACAGACCTCATTGCTTCAGTTTCTAATGCCACAAAAACCCTAATTGTGCTGCTCCACGTCTGTATCTAGACATAGATGTTGTTTATTCTATCTCTATTTTTTGGGTTTATACAGGTATTTGTGTGATTGTAAAAGACTCAGATGACTTTCTGATAATAAGCGTTCCTCTGTTTTGCTTTTTTTTCCTGTGTGTTGCAGCACAAACCTCCGCTGGTGGTCGCCGACCTGTTTGAAGACATAAAGGATGGGATAAAGTTACTAGCCCTCCTGGAGGTCCTGTC